CTGTCAACCCAGCGCAACCGCACCACTCCGACTTCAATGCGTACCAATGTACGCGGCGTGGTTTCGTTTCGCTGGGGCTCTCACTGCCTACCTTCGGTAACGGCCGCGCGGCGGCGCGCCGGTCGCGTCGCACGGAGTGTATAGACCATTCCATTTGGCGCCCTCAGGGTGGCGCCATTTTGTTAGACCGCAGTGGCCTCTCCACACATCTGGGAAGTTCAGCAGGTTCGGAGGGGTAAAACGAGAGAGGGCACGCGCCCGACTCTGCTAGCAGACGAAAAACCGGGAGGTTGCCGTTCTCCATCTTTGGGCTGTACCGGCGGGCTCCACCGAACATGGAACTCTCGCTCGTGGCTGCCGTTATGCAATGGTCCGCATTGTTAGAATATTTATGGCTACTCCAAACTGGACTTTTAGCGCTCTGTTGCAGTAAATGATCAACCAGCGTATCTTTGTTCCGCTACTTCCATAGCGGTGGAGTCAGCTGACGCCTCAACCGCTGCGTCTATTGCGCTAGAAGAGCACATTTTCATTTATTACTCCAGACTTCCACTCATTATCGCTAAATGCCTACACGAGTACGAACTTCGTATAGCAAAATAACTACAGAAACCGCCTTTACTTTTCGCCGGTGCGACCAACCACCGTGACAGAGTTTTTCCATTTTTTTATTTGCACGCAGGTAACATTGCAATTACACTCGGTTAGTCGTTTTATCGAGCATAGCATTAAACGATAACTTGCCCATAAATTTGCGCATCTGCGCCTCAAATTTTTAAATTGACGTGATTTTAAACCGAGCATGAACGCCAGCCGGATGTTTGATACAGTCCACTCGGCGGAGCAGACGACGCAAGGGGTGAGAGAGGGAAGACATTTTTTCTCTCTCCGCTCATCGTAGTGGAATGATCTGTAAGAGGGAGGTCGGCGACTGACAAAGCTGATATGTTTAGACACATTAGAGATAGTTTTAGGGAACCGTATTTGGATATCCGATACGGTACGCCGTACCCTTCGGTATGAACAGCTCATATAGTCTTCTACAATAACAAATGCGCAGGTAGTACCGCAGGACCCATATCGTATACCGTATCGGATTTGCGGAAACGGTTCCCGAAAACTTTCTAATAGTAGACAGGCTGCACTGTGGCATGGAGCACAGTGAAATGCCGTGTTCAGTGCCACACCGCGGACCGTTCTTTAGGTCTAAACAGGAGGTTCGCCTTTACTCCCTGATGCGACTGTTTAAATGTCCTACTTATATTTAAGCGCTCTCTCCCTAAACGCCGGATTTCAAGCGTCATAGGTAGGATTCCGTGCTTTCAGGGCTCATGTCAAGTGAAATTCCAATGGCGTTCTTCGAAGTTTTTTTTTTTTGCTGAAAATTCGGTGTTTATGGGAGTTTATTTTTGTTAGATTTACAATTCCCTGGAGTCCAAATTTTATTGTACTGTTTTTCAAATTTTTGAGAATAATTAGAAATCAAAATGAAGTTTGGGCACCATGACCCGTTGTCCCGAAGACACCGTGCTCAAAGGCAAACCCCTTTCGTCCTAACTGCGATATCTCCAAGGAATCAGAAGTTACATCTCCTCAGGGCCACTGACCTTATACTCTTATGAATGTCAGTTGCACAACACATTCTTTTCGGTTTTGTATTTTCTTGTTGTGACCTCCGAATTCCGAGTCTTTCGGATAAATCCCAATTGAGAATAAATTTACCGGCGAGCTCGGATTTTTTTTTCCGGACTTATCCCAAAACACGAAACCCCTAATGATAGGACATTGGAGGTTAAGGTCGCTGTCAATTTTTTTTGTTTTGTTTTTAGAGTGTCATCTTTTGTGGTTAAATTTTAATTTTGCCAGACTGTCAAACCTGACGGCTCTCTATTCCGTACTTCCGCAGAGTACCCCTCCTCTTTGCGTTCATCAGCTACAGTCGCCTTCCGGAGAACATCGATAACATTGCCCAGGTCATAAAGGAAGCACTCAGTGATGTTTACAACCTCTACAAGAAAACCAAGAGTGTGAGAAACGTTGCGCTACACAGTATGATGATTATAATCACTGACGGCTTAAAAAACACAGGGCGTGCTGAGTCCCGTGAATCTCATTAACACTCTGCAGCCAATCATATTGCGGCATTAGCCGACGAGGTCACCGAAGGACCGATCACAAAGCATGAACATGTGCTAAGCCACGCCCTGCCTTTCTTAAGCTCGAAATGACTATAGTTGAGTGGTGAAAGATAATTATAATATACAGGTGCCGCTTCAGTCGGCCTATATACCAACTGTGCCTTGAAAACAAAGAGTGCTTAATATTTGTTTTTTGGTGCCGTCAAAATAAATTTTGCATCACTGGACACTTATTGAGAAGTTTTCGTAGATCGTTTTCGTCGTCCCACAACACTCTGAGCAGCCCGCTACGATACCAGGAACTCAACAGTCAAAGCCATGGGCGTGCAGGCACAATAGCGGCTTCTTCGATGCGGAGGGCTTAGCGGAGGGGGAAACGCAGTCTACGAAAACTCCCTACTGTCTCTACCCAAAATGTCGTGCTCGCGCTCCGGACCAAATGCCAAAGTTTTTATAGCTTGCCGTTGTCCGACTCGGAAGTTTCAAACGACTTTCGAGCAAGAAAATGGCGGCAGACAATGCCCTCGAGTGCACAGAAATGAATGACGATGGCTTACCCGGTTTACGGGCCCGGTTTTCTCACTCATAAGCGCGACGTGCGGACAACGCGTGCTCTGTCAAAGTCGCCGGTTTGTTTCCGGCTCTGTCCGATTCACACAACTTTCCACCGCTATACGATCGAGTAAGCGGTCGTAAGCGGTCATTCGCTAAGCCAATCACCTGCCATCAGCCGCCAAACCAATCACCCACAGCAAAAAAAAAAAAAAAAACAAAAAAAAAACGCAGGATTAGGACGTATGTAGCGTGTGATAGTGCTGGCGATAGCAAACACTCGACAACGACGGGAGTCGTGACGTCACACTTTTGGCCTTGCTGATTGGCTCAATCGGATTGAAGCGTTTGCAGCGGTCGGATTTATGGGGAGCGCAAGTTCGTCTGCGTCTTGCGCAGGGGTTGTACTGGCGTCACAACGCCGAGCTTTGATTGGCTCCGATGAAGGAATAGTGGGTTGACCTGAGTTCTAGCTGCCTCGATGTCTACCCACTATCCTTCCTATCGGAGCCAATCAGAGCTCTGCGTTCTGACGTCACCACAACCCGTGCTCATGAAGCAGACGAACTCGCGCTCCGCACTGCGAAACGGAGTAGCTCAGCTAGGAAGGGTCAACGACATCTAGGATAATGAAGGCCTTCGAACTTCGCCTCTCTCTTCCTCCAGGGAACGTCATGCCGAGCATCGTTCGACACGTTCATTGGACACGAGGCGCAGCCGAGCACTGACGCAGCACTCGTATCCAATCGGTGTCTTCGCTCGATCTCACTGTGATGATCGACGTCAAAATTATAGTGCTCGGGCTTTGAATATTCTATCGGGTGTTGGAAGGATATACATACGCCTTCGAGATAGTCAGTGACTGCGCTCATTTTCATCGGAATAAAGCTGAGCTGGCGCGTCGTCGGTTATTTCTAAAATGGAGCAGGCTGTTTGACCTCCTTTGAATTTCTCTTCGACCGTCGTATTCATTGGAATCCGTAACTTAAAATAGCTCGAAACAGCAAAGGACACGAGGGAGGACTGTGCCCTTTCCCGGAAGGCACGGGAGATTAAAGTCCCGCCGCTGGTAAATGAATTCCTCTGCTTTCCTGCACTATCATTCCATGAAAGCGGACCAAGCAGCGCCAGAAGTGGATCGTCACGCGTTTTCCTTCTAGGCACATATACGGTATAACCGGCGGAGCCAATCCCGCGCATGATAGAAGCGCATGATCGGGGCGCATTCACTGTGCGTGATTGGGCTAGTACAGGGGCGGCCAAGCCGCATGCGGCTCTTTGCGTGTTAAAGTGCGGCTCGCGGCTCCATCCCCTCCCTTGCCCCCTCTCCCGCTTCCCTCCCGGTCACACGAGCACTTCCCCAAAATAGACATGGAACATGTTTTAAATCGGAAGACAGGTTGCGGTTCGTAGTCTTTTGCTACTGCTACGTTACGTACAGTTGGACTGCTTTTGACTCGGATAGATTGAAAATAGTTCCGAGTTTCGTTTATTGCTCCAGACAAAAGTTTGCACCCCCCCCCCCCTCCACCCCCCCCCCCCCCCCCCCTCCTTCCGATCGGCTCTTGGAAGTTTTGTGGTTTCGTTTGCGGCTCTTAGGCCGGGTCAGCCTGGCCACCGCTGGTCTTGTAGGTGACATTAAATGCACAAAGCTGATGAGCGCCGTGACGGTGCGCTTCCGGTGCTGCTCGGTTGGTTCCCTCAAATCGTCGGCTGCGATTTGAGTAAAGGCTGATTAACACAGAAGCGTTTGCTTGCGTTTTCTTGCGTTACATGTAAGTCACCACCGGAACATGAGTGCCACAAATGTCGTGTGCAAGCTCCGCTTCTCGATTTGGTTGCCACGCTTCGTGCGTTACACAGATGTCTCGCGGTGACTCTCGATGACGTAAGCCGATGTAAGCTTTCGATAAGACGACGCGACGTCAGGAAAACGGTACTACGCGTACCGGCCCTTAAAGGCTGAACGGCGTGTAAGCGATTTAGTCAACGACGAGATGAGCAATGACGACGAGAGTCAACGACGAACGACGCAAATTTCTCGCTGTCGCTCGTAGGGCGCTCGGCCCTTTTTTTTTTTTTTTTACAAAACGTCGTTCAATTGCCTTGGTCGCTCGCCGCCGTGTCGCTTTCATACGGTTTGTTTGACTCGTCACGCGACCGACCAAGCGACAGCGAAGTGGGGTCGCCGTCGCTCGTCTCGTCACTCGCCAAATCGCTTACCTGCGGTTTATATACTTTAAAGTGAGACAGTGTATTGGAGCGACTTACCACGATGCGAGCTGTTTTCGTCTCTTGTTTTCGTTTCAGGAGATAGAAACGCTGACGGTCACCAATTACGCCAACTTTTCTGACAGCCTGATGAATAAACTACTAGGTGAGTTTCCATACTTTCACCGATTAGCCGCTCTCTGGATTAGAAGTTACAAAGTCCGCAGCAAACAAGCGTTGACACTAACAGCTTGTCTATATTTTGAAGTAACTATCAGCGTAATAAACGAATGGCGTGTACCGAGCATCTTTTGACAGCTCTGCAGCCATTGAGGTACAGACAAATTACAGGACGCTTAAGCTTAGCATTTAGGAGTAGAACTTTATAGCTAAACATATAAATTTCCGCTCGTTTCCAGGCTAGACACGGTAGCGCGTCTGGCTCGCAGCCGAAGTGTCGTAAGTTCAGTCCCGCTCCGCCTAAGGCAATCGAATGTTTTTCTTTGAGGCAAATGAATTACTTTATAATGTGAGTCATTTGAAACGGGCGGCGGAGAAAAGCTCACCGGAGAAAAGCTCACCGGAGATAAGCTCACCGGAGATAAGCTCACCGGAGAAAAGCTCACCGCAAAACTGGCAGATGCGGAGAAAAGCTCACCGATATTTTTTTTTTTAAGCTTAGCTTGATTCTGCGTAAAACGTGGCAATTTAACACAATTTGCATTCGTCACTTCATTAAAAATATGTCCCCGTTTTTGTAATATTCTTGAGGTTCATTGGGCATATTTACTAATTCCTCAGAAATTAGTAATCACCCATTCTGTAAATTAATGAAGCCGCAAGTATAAAATCAGAACATCGTACACCGGTAAAAAAGGCAACAATTTATTGACAGCTGAGGGTGCGCCGTCGGTAGCTCTGTCAGATATAGAGGTTTGTTTTTTGCGAGCTAATATGAATAGCGGTGTGTGAATCACTTGAGGTCCATATAAAATGTACTGCCTGATAGATAAGTAGATGTTTGTTAATGTAATCAGTGTAGGTTACGCTGTTTTCTTTCTGTTAATTTTACTAACAAAACTTTAGTTGCGAGAACAGCTTCGTCGTGTCGTGTCTGTTGTCTTCACTCCGTCATCGTCGTTTGAGCGGTTTTCATCATGTATAACGTTTACCAACTCGCCCAATTCGCTACCTACCTCACAAATGACTAGTTCTTATATAGCTCACGAATAACAACGGAGACAGTGTGCACCTCTGAAGGTCATGGGTGGCGCACCGTAGAAGGACACTATCACACAAAGGGAACGCGTGGAAACACCAGCGCGAACAGTTAGAAAGCGTGCATGTCCGTGGAAGAAAGAAGCCTCAATATCCTCTTGACTGTTTTATCTTGTTTTCAAAGGTTAACAAAAGTTTCAAAGAGAATTTCAGGCACCGCGGTGTTGCGCGCACACTTTTGAATTTTTGGCATTTACACCTTTGATTTTTAGGTTTTAGGCAGTCATCATTACCTTTTTTTTAACTTTTTCCTGTTCTTCAAGTTAATAAAGATTTTAGTTAGGTTTTCGTTGCCTAGAGAGTAAGCCACAAAAAACACTGGCCCGCAATTATTAATTAAGCAATATACCCATTAAGCTTAACAAATATTACAAAAGAGGACATTTTATTTTTTACAAGGCTGACGAATTTTAATGATAATAAATTGATATCTGTTACGCACGATCCAACAGCCTCCATATAAAAAGAAGAAAAAATATCGGTGAGCTTTTCTCCGCATCCGCCGGTTTTGCGGTGAGCTTTTCTCCGGTGAGCTTATCTCCGGTGAGCTTTTCTCTGGTGAGCTTTTCTCCGGTGAGCTTTTCTCCGGGATTCATTTGAGACATGGGGCAACGTTTAGTTCGCACGACACCGTAATGTTTTTTAGTCACTTTCATTCCACACGTAATGTCAAGTGACCGTTGTTGGTTGTTTGAAATTCCCGCGCGAAGTCTTGTGGTGGTGACGTCATGACCCTATCGATGGATTAGAATTTTCGCGTCACTGCACCGACGTCGGCCTTTATGCGGCACGAGCTTCTTAACGCTATCGTGTGAAAACGAGGTGCGCCGATATAATAAACGCTGGGTGGCGGGAGCAGCCAAAATTTTTTGGGAAACAAGACAAGCTCAGGCTTTAAGTTCGCACTGGGAATGATGCCTTTTAGGCTTAAGATGCCGGCTCAATTGGTCATTGAACATTATCCCCTAATGCGGCGTCCTCAATGGTCAAGAAATGATGTGTCGCTATGAAGCGAGGCCCAATCATTGGCTCCCGACAGTAGCGAGAAGAGTGACTCACGGTGGCCTGGGATCTTCGGAGGTTCGTGATGTCCCGATTTCGAAACGGACGTCACTATGATTCTTCTGAAAACCAAAATGAGAGAGGTGCCCATCCTCAGTTGTCATTTAGCGGTGGTGTGTGTGAGACGCCGGAGGCTGTGTCATGAGGTACGCCCAACTCCCACTAGAGGGACAAACGGAAACGACCGACGCCAACCGACCTCGAGCAGGCATACCTTTGGCAAACTGGAGTTTATCAGTGCTCGAGAAGTAAGCAGGAATGATTGCAAGCCAGCCAAAGACACCGTCGCGTGCATGCTGGACGTGTTTGACATTTGTCGGTGTCGGTTGATCATGATTTAGAAAACACGAGACTGTGGTAAAAGCAGGGAAACTTGGTCGAAGAAAGACAGGGGAAAAGAACGTCTCAAACTCAGCTACTCCCTTTATTTCCTTAATGTCTTATATATCCACAGCCTAACCACCGACCACCGACGTCACAAGGTCCACCTTTGTTATCTATACATCATACCCACACTGGTCTTCGCCTCAACCGTAAACGGTGACCTCAATCCCAAACTAAAAGCTTAGGACCTTAAACAAAACAAACACACGGACCTACTTCCCTTCCAGCCGGAATCTAGAAAAGCTGTGCTTCATCTAAACAACAACTGATATGACTTCCAACTGAACCCCTGCCCGCAATATGACTCATTGCACGTTCACTTACAGGTATTAAAAAAACAACAACAACAACAACAAAACTTTACATTATAAGAAACTTTTTGGAACTACTTCCGAGTTGCATCGAAGCATGGCTAATACAATTACCGACGGATTTGATACAAACTGTCTCTTTTATGAGCCTCTTAATAGAGCCTCTTAAAAACTGACATTGCGCTCTTTGTGCACAATGTCAGTTTGGGACCAATGTGCCGTAGAAGTGTTGCACTCACTAATGTGGTTAGCAAGCTCTGAATTGGGTGCGGTTATTTTTACATTTCTTTTGTGCTCTACCAACCTATCATTTACACACCTTGCCGTTTGTTCCACATACGTGAAACCGCATTCCAGTGGTATTTCATAGACCACCCCTTCCTTGCAATCCACCGACTTATCACGGTGCGCTTTCTGGCACACCTTCTGACTCGTCTGAAACGGTGTCAAACGGTTCAGCTTAAAGTCGGACTTAAACGCTACATCTATCCCAAATTTTTTTCCGCATGCTTTAAGGTTATGAGAAATTGCGTGCAAATAGGGAATAACCGCATAATGCCTTTTCGCTTTCTTTTCTGGTCGTTGCTTAGCCTTTTGCTGCAATTCCAATTGTCTTTTTATGAACACACTGTCATAGCCTGCATCCTCTAACCTTGACCACTGTCTTTCTACCGCACAACTTATAAAAGAGGCACACGATTTCTCCAGTGCGTGGGTGATTAGAGACCTGACTACACGTGCTTTTCCAGAAATTGTAAAATAAGTCCAGAAATTGTAATATACCATTGTCCGCCTTTCCTAAGGTGAACTTAAGTTCCGGCGCCGCTCCCCTCACTGTCCGATCCAACTCGAGTATATCCTCTTCGCGGAATGAGCAGATCAGTATGTCATCGACATATCTCCTTACAAAGCCCGTAGTCAATGAATTACAATTCAATTTATCCGTTACGGCAGCATCCATGTTGTTAAGATATATTTCTGCTAGCATTGTAGCAACCGATGAAGATAATCAAGGTCTACAGAGAAAGAACAAGCACAAGAATAGAAGAGCTCCGCAAGGCCTGTGATCGCATCTGGAGACTCCAAGGATTACAGGCACCAACAGGAATATCTTCGCTGGAACTCGGGAAAAAAGGAACTCTTCGAGCGGCTGTGGTATGTGAAGCGACGAATTGTGTTAGACAGATTTAAGGGTACGAAGACCAGGAAAAGGAAGAGTGAAAATACAATGAGTTCGGGGCACGTGACGGACGGATCTAAATGTAGCATTGTTAATCCTTGCAATGTGGGCATCTCAGGCAAAGCAAAGCAGATGTTAAGCAAAGGCCCAACTTTTTACTAAATGTTAAACCTTCGAGGTTGGATGTTTTTTTCTTGATTCAGGAGATTTCGAAGAATGCCGGAGAAAAGCTCACCGGAGAAAAGCTCACCGGAGATAAGCTCACCGGAGAAAAGCTCACCGAAAAACCGGCGGATGCGGAGAAAAGCTCACCGGCCATTGAACGTATGCGAAGAAAAGCTCACCGATTTTTTTTCTTTTTATATGGAGGCTATTGGTCATGCGTAGCATATATCAATTTATTATCATTAAAATTTGTCAGCTTTGTAAAAAAGAAAATGTCCTTTTTTGTAATATTTGTTAAGCTTATTGGGTATATTGCTCCCAAATTAATAATTGCGGGCCAGTGTTTTCTGTTGCTTACTCTGTAGGCAACGAAAGCCCAACTCAAATTTGTATGAACTGGAACAGAAAAAAGTTCGAAAACTTAATCTCTGCCTAAAACCTAAAAATCTAAACTGTAAATGCCGAAGATCCAAAAGTGCATGTGCGCAACAACGCGGTGTTTGAAATTCTCTTTGAAGCTTTGTTAATTTTTGAAAATAGGACAAATCAGTCAGCAGGATATCAAAACTTTTTTCTTTCACGGAGAAGCACGTTTTCTAGCCGTTGGTGCTGGTGTTTCTACACGTTGCCTTTGTGTGATAGTGCCTTTCTACGGCGAGGCACCCATGACCTTCAGAGCTGCACACTGGCACCGTTGTTACTCGTGACCTATATAAGAAGTAGTCTTCTGTAAGGTGGCGAATAGGGCGAGTTTGTAAACGTTATACATGATAAAAACCGCTCAAACGACGACCACGGAGTGAAGACAGCAAACACGACAGGACGAATCTGTTCTCGCAACTAAAGTTTTGTTAGTGAATTTAACAGAAAAAAAAGCGTAGCCGACACTGATTACATCAACAAACACCTACTTATCTATTAGGCACTACACAATATTTGAAACTGAAACGGTTCACACACCGCTATTCATATTAGCTCGCGAAGAACAAACATCTTTATTTGACAGAGCTACCGATGGCACCTTGCCAGTTGTCAATTAATTGTTGTCTTTTTTACCGGGGTACGATGTTCTGATTTTGTACCCTTGCGGCTTCATTAATATACAGAATGGGTGATTACTAATTTCTGATGAATTAGTAAATATGCCCAGTGAACTTCAAGAATACTGCAAAAAAAAGTAGACATATTTTTAATGAAGTGACGAATGCGAACAATGTTAAATTACAACGTTTAATGCAGAATCCGCTAAGTTAAAAAAAAAATGGTGAGCTTTTTTTCGCATCCGCTCAACAGCAGCGGTGAGCTTTTCTCCGCATCTGCCGGTTTTGCGGTGAGCTTTTCTCCGGTGAGCTTATCTCCGGTGAGCTTCTCTCCGGTGAGCTTTTCTCCGGTGAGCTTTTCTCCGCCGCCCGATTTCGAAGATGATCAATTTTGACGAGAGAATAGCGTTTGTAGATCACGCAGTTGATAGAATGGAATGTCTTCTAGATGAGTCTTATCCAGCAGAACGAAGGAATTTCCGAGGCGCGGTTTCAGTTAAGAGTGAATTGGAAAGAGGTTCACTTAAATTGCTGCAGACAGATAAATCCGGCAAGTTCGCTAGACTTCCGTCGATGATGTTTGAAAGGAAATTGTTTGACGCTTTCAGTTTTTTTTTGTTGAATGAAGGGAAATATTACCAAATTGAAAAAAAGCGTTGTAACGGTTTTAAAGGAAGATGGGTTAGACGCACTGGCAAAAAAAGTTACGAGCCAAGCAGGAATGACGTTAAGTGCAACGTTTTTTATGAAAGACCACAAAGTAGACATGCCCTTTCGTGCAGTGGTGAACGAGAACGAAACGTGGCAGCACACCTTCTCGCGATTTCTTCAACAAGGGTTGATTCTTGTGCAACTTGAAAAAATTCTGGCCCTTAAGAATTCGAATGAATTGATCAGTATCCTGGAGGGAATTCATGAAAAGAGATGTTCGATATTCTCCATGGACATAATGGACCTTTATTATTCGCGAGATAAGGCACGTCTAATGCAGATGGTTCGTGAGGCTTTGGAATTGAATTTGGTTCAATTTCAATCCAACTTAGGAATAACGGTGGATAGTTTTTTGTCAATTCTAGATCTATATCTCCAGACAACGGTAGTCGAGTACAAGGAACGCAAATTCGTACAGAGATGGCGTATGTATAGGTTCATCGGTTGCTGCAATGCTAGCGTGCTGCCGTAACGGATAAATTGAATTGTAATTCATCGAGTACGGGCTTTGTAAGGAGATATGTCGATGTCATATTGATCTGCTCATTTCGTGAAGAGGATATACTCGAGTTGGAACGCACAGTGAGGGGAGCGGCGCCAGAACTTAAGTTCACCTTAGAAAAAGCGGACAATGGTATTTTACAATTTCTGGACTTATTTTACAATTTCTGGAAAAGCAGGTGTAGTCAGGTCTATAATCAGCCACGCACTAGAAAAATCGTGTGTCCATTTTATGGGTTGTGCGGCAGAAAGGCAGTGGTAGAGGTTAGAAGATGCAGGCTATGACAGTGTGTTCATAAAAATACATTTGGAATTGCAGCAAAAGGCTAAGCAACGACCAGATAAGGAAGCGAAAAGGCATTATGCGGTTATTCCCTATTTGCACGCAATTTCTCATAACCTTAAAGCATGCGGAAAAACATTTGGGATAGATGTAGCGTTTAAGTCCGACTTTAAGCTGAACCGTTTGACACCGTTCCAGACGAGTCAAAAAGTGTGTCAGAAAGCGCAGCGTGATAAGTCGGTTGATTGCAAGGAATGGGTGATCTATGAAATACCACTGGAATGCGGTTTCAAGTATGTGGGACAAACGGCAAGGTGTGTAAATGATAGGTTGGTAGCGCACAAAAGAAATGTAAAAATAACCGCACGCAATTCAAAGATTGCTAAACGCATTAGTGAGTGGAACGATTGTACGGCACATTGGTCGCAAACTGGCATTGTGCACAAAGAGCGCAACAACAACGCAACAACTCATAAAAGAGACAGTTCTTATAAAATCCATCGGTAATTGCATTAGCCATGCTTCGATACAACTCGGAAGTAGTTCCAAGAAGTTTCCTAAAATCTAGTGTTTTTTTTTTATTAATAGTGTAAGTGAACGTGCAATGAGTCAATATGCGGGCAGAGGTTCAGTTAGAATTCATATCAGTTCTCGTTTAGATGAAGCACACACAGCCTTTCTAGATTTCGGCTGGAAGGGAAGTGGGTCAGTGTGTTTGTTTTGTTTAAGGTCCTAAGCTTTAAGTTTGGGATTGAGTTCACCGTTTACTGTTGAGGTGAAGACCAGTGTGGGTAGGATTGTATAGATAACAAAGGTTGACCCTGTGACGTCGGTGGTTAGGTTGTGGATATATAAGACATTAAGGAAATAAACGGAGTAGCTGAGTTTGAGACGTTCTTTTCTCCTGTCTTCCTTCTTCGCCCAAGTTTCCCTGCTTTCACCACAGTATCGGGCTTTCTACGTCATGATCAACATCCACCAGCTTGCCTGCGCACTCACTGTTTTTTCACTGTTTTTTTTCGTTGTCGGTTGTTTCTCTTGGCCGCTCTAGTGCGACTAGGGCATTAAAGGGGCCACGAAACGATTTTTCAACTTCTTCCTCTTTAGCTTTATTTCTCAACTCAAAAGCAAATCGAGAAATCATGTGATCGTGACGTGCTTGGGCATCGACGCGAGGACTCCAAGCTTCCACCGTCCTTTCTAAGCGCACCATAGAACTTGTCCTTCAAAAGCGATGATAAGTTCCGTCACTGTACTCATTGGCCACGATCGCGAATCCAAACATTCGTCGATGGACTGATGGTTGACGAGCGCATACGTCCGAGTGACGCAGTGCTCATGTTTCATACGTGAGCTGGGGTCGGCTGACGTGTTTTGGGTGCCGCGGATGTATCACAGTGAAAAGGCGGAAATGCTTTCGAAGGAAAGCAGGTGGAAAAGAGTCCGCTATGTTTTCGAATTTTCGTACCAAAAAGCAGGCTTTTGACTTTCTACCCTCTTTCTTTTTGGCCCACTAAACGATAGGCGATTAGGAAGATTCCAATCTTAAATTATTAATTCCATCCTAAAATTCATTTCATGACCCCTTTAAGACTACGATATGTTTTCATATTTAAAATTTAAGATTATATAAAAAAAAAATTGATATAAAAAGTTCGCAAACCCTGGTTAGGTGGCGCAAGCAACCACTCGAATAAAATATTTCTCATTTGTCTAGATAGTCGTACATCCACGTGCAGATCAGCCTCCGGCGCCCAACACACCGCGAAAAGAAAATTTTTAAGTCTTCTAGCTTTTGACTCACAATTCTAGTTCTTTCTCGGCTCCAAGGCAGGATGAACAACTTGGACCTTTAGCTTCACTTTTTAACATGTTCGGCATGTCATTTTGTCTCAATCCGTTAACTGTTTTTTTTCTCGTTTTTGTTTACTGAGATTGCAAGACCGACTTACCAGGGTTCATTCTCAGTGCCTTGGAGGATACCCCCGGTCTGAATGGCCTACCGAAGCTTACCGCAAGTGAGTCATATTTTGAGGGGTTGTTTTAAGCTGCTTGACACATGGGCGTATGACTGTTAGTGACTACGTCGAAACCACTTGAGAAGAGAGAAGACACTAACGCCATCCATCGGGTAACTCAGAAACACTTTCCATCTGCGTAAACTTAGCAGACGCGCAAACAAGACGATCGCCGTGACGAAGCACATTTTGGCGCTGCTCGATTGGCTGCATCAAATCGTAGGGATGGCTGCAGTCGAACTTTAAATGGGTAACGGAGTGCAATCTTCCCGCAATTTCGTCTTCTACGCGCCGCCATCTTTGTCTCCTGGGCTGTGGAAGACGTTCTGCGCAAGCGCACTAGCTCTGTTCTGCGGAACATTAGTCGCCGCGCAACGCTGCCCCGCGATTCGGTTTTCTTAGACGCACATATTACATGTTGCTCCCCCTTCAAACCAAAACTGATCGCATACAGAACGTTTATCCTCTCCAAATAACGTTACGGAAGCACAATTTGGAAAACCCAATAAAATTACTTAAAGAGGCGATGCAACGATCTTTTGTATTTTGCGCAAATAGCGCTTAGAACGGATCCCTGACATTAATGACCTGTGAAATACCCGTTCGTTTTTCACCACACGCAATCGAAGTCGCAAAAAAAAAATAGAGAAAAATGAGAGAGTTAACCCCCTCAACTCGCAGCCAGAACAAGCGGCCACGTGACCTGGAACCGATTATATGCCGCCAATGTTGATCATAGCCATGCGCTGGGGTTGGCAAGGCACAGGACACGTGCTGTGTTCCAGACATTGTTATGGTTCGGCTGTTGTCGTCATTGCAGCGATTGGACACAGGACACTACCCGAATGCTTCTCGAGCTATAGATTATCACGAGCCCAAATCGAGTGCCCACGCAATGCTCGGGTCCAATCTATGAGCCGCATACAAATATCGTCACTGGGCGGTACTGCTACCGCCCAGCTACGTCATCAGGTTTTGCGAAGGAGTGATTGAATGAAAACGCTCGGTTTTGTCCTCGAAATTACAGCTGAACAATGGAGTTTCTTGGTCAGCGGCGTTGCGTGCGAGTATGCTTGAGTCCTACTAGTGCCAGTAAGCTCGTGTAAAGTGAAAAACATTCCAATTGAATATCGTTGCACCGCCCCTTTAATCTCGAGATTAGAATCCGTCCAGAACAAAGCAGCTCGCTTCATATGCAACAGCCACTCATCCGAAGCTAGTGTCCGAATGTTAAAGGAAGTCAAATCAACTTCCAACTTTTAAAAGTAAGGAAAAAAAAAAAAAGAAGAAGAAGAGATTGTGTTTTTTACGCCAATTTTCAATTTAAGTCTATAGCTACCCGGCCAATTTCACATGACTCAGGTTAGATCACTCGTGCAAAATAGAACCATTTCAATGCCGCACCAACTCTTTTCTTTTTTTCCCTTTAACACTTTGCATCGATGACTGGAACAATTTACTTGACCGAACCGTAACAAATCACAATGCCATTTCATTTAGAGACCAACGTAAACAATTGTATAGCTAATGAGCCTGCCTTATATTTCACTGTATCATTGTTGCTCGAGATAGTGAAAGTCCCATTTTTGCTCGATGTCTTCAGTCATCACCATTGTCGGTTTTGTTATTTTCACTCCATGTCTTACTCGACTGCAATCCAGCTTCACTTTTTTGTGTTTGTTCTGTTCCCTTTTTTGTCGAATAAGATATGTATTACCTGTTTCTTTTTTGTTAATCACTCCTCCTGTAATGCATCCATTGTTTGCCCTTGAGGTAAACAAAATGAAATGAAATGAACTGGACAATTTGGACTAGGTGACAAGCGCTGGAAGAGCGTGCGGGTGATGATGGCAGGACACTGCAGGGAACTGAAGATACTTCTTGTTCCTTTCCCGCTCGCAGATATATTTGTTAATCACTCCTCCTGTAATCCATCCATTGTTTGCCCTTGAGGTAAACAAAATAAAATGAAATGAACTGAAAAATTTGGACTAGGTCATAAGCGCTGGAAGAGCGTGCGGGTGATGATGGCAGGACACTGCAGGGAACTGAAGATACTTCTTGTTCCTTTCCCGCTCGCAGATATATTTGTTAATCACTCCTCCTGTAATCCATCCATTGTTTGCCCTTGAGGTAAACAAAATGAAATGAAATGAACTGGAAAGTTTGGACTAGGTGATAAGCGCTGGAAGAGCGTGCGGGTGATGATGGCAGGACACTGCAGGGAACTGAAGATACTTCTTGTTCCTTTCCCGCTCGCAGATATATTTGTTAATCACTCCTCCTGTAATCCATCCATTGTTTGCCCTTGAGGTAAACAAAATGAAATGAAATGAACTGGAAAATTTGGACTAGGTGATAAGCGCTGGAAGAGCGTGCGGGTGATGATGGCAGGACACTGCAGGGAACTGAAGATACTTCGTGTTTCTTTCCCGCTCGCAGATATGCGGCTTATAGCAAAGGAGATGGAGGCGATCAAGGCGCAAGTCACGTCCGTGAACAACCTTCTCCGGGACATCAGACGGCGGACGCGTGACTCTGCTGACGGACTCCAAACGGCTTGCCCGATTCCAATGTGCCCTGTTGTTGTCCCAGTTGTCGCAGGACTGCGTGTTGCGACCGAACAAGAGGTGAGGTTCAGTTAACGTTGTAAGAAGACTCGCAGTCTTGTACAACTTACTCTATACAATTACTATTATTTTTATTTCCCGTTTTGCTGGCGAAGCGAGGGAAATGAAGTTTATTATTATCACTTGAGAGGAAGAGTAACCAAACGTTACTTGAAAAAGTAACCATTACTTTTCAGATTACTTCAGATATTCAAGACGACAGACTCTTGTGGCTGTTTGAAAAAGGACTGGTTGTGCTATACGATTTCGGATTAGAATCATCGGATTACAGACTATTCATCTTTTGAATCAGCCACTTTTGGCAGACCGCGTCGACCTGTCGGAGAGTGAGAAATATTTTTTGGGATGGGTGTGAAAGCAAAGGGCACCATTAGAAAAGGGAGGTAAAATTAGTAATGGTTACAAGTAAGTTTAATTTTTTCAAAAGAAATCAGATGATTTTGTGATCATTCCCTAATAAAGGTAATCAAATAAGTACAAAATTACAAAAATTATTGATTACTAGTAATTTGATTACTTGTAACGAGTACAGTACCATTATAAGATAGCTCTAGGTGTCTGAACAAGGCCGGAAAGGGGGCTGAAATTTAACCTAGGCTCCACGTATTTCCCGGCAGAGGCGCTCTCGGTTTAGGGCTCCCGCGCAGGTGCAGTCGCACGCCGCGCTGCCTTGAAATTGTGTGCGGGAAGGAGAATAGTTTTTCAGCTCCAGTCATGCTGCGCCATCTCACGTCGTTTGCCAGAAATTCGTGCGAATCTTAGACACACTTGTTCCATGGCAAGGCGGTGCCGTTCAGATCACACTATCTCTCTTCTGCCAGCTTGGCACCGACCCCCGTTTCCTATATTTGTTGGTTAGAAAATGGTTGGGTAGTTGTATGGTTGGATGCTTAAACCACAGCCTTGTGACTCAGTATTTTTTGCCTGGGTGATGGTCGATGGAAAGGTGTATAGCAGAACGTCGGCAAAATGTTGGCCAGTATCGATGAAATATCACTGAAACCAGTAGAGGGAGGAAGAATCTGTCTGCCTGTAATTTATCAGCACCAGTCGTTTTGTAGGTCTAGACACTGTAATAAGTATAAAATGGTTGTGAATAAGAGTTGAATGACATGACATTTTTTGTTTCCTTCTCAGGTTGACACCGCAGACTTTGACAGCGCCAAGAGTCCCATTGAGAACGTTTCTACTGCCGTCAACTTGCGGGTAATACCACCATCGTAACATGTTTAATAGCCCGTGTTCAAGAATTTACGTTTTTGACGTTAGTTGTAAATATTTTTATACTAAACGGTTTTTCTTGAAAAAAAAAAGTTTGTATGTCAGAGCCATATATGCCACTTCTGTCCGCTGAGGGATCATGGCTCGTCCCGTGTTCACCATTACAGCACAGACCAAATGATCTGAACCTATTTTAAATAAATCGCCATACGCAGCTATGTGCTACGCCTTACTCGACCGTCTTTAGTGGGGTAAAGCACTGGGTCGGACATTGGCTGGATTTAACAGATTTATGCGCTTCCTCTCGTGCGCGTTCTACTTGCATAAGGGGACAATTAAATAATTCTGTATTTACAGACTTTGCTCTGCTCTTTTCAGGACACGGTTCAAACCGCCCTCACACAAATTCTTGATCCAGTTGTCGAAGGTAACTTTCGTCGTTTGTTTTCTTGGGACGACTTAAGGCGCTAAGGTTTTCCTGAATTCAAACCTCTTTTTTTTAAATGAAATAAAGGCTGTCCCCTAATGAATACATTCGGGCCTTTTTGTTATCGCGAAAGTAATCAACGTGTGGTTCAACGTTCAGTTTCCTTTCAAATGTATACGCTAGCGGTCCGAACGAGATGTTGGTTTCAAAACGAACCCTTATATTTTGGGGGGAAATTTTCAATTGCAAAATGGTGGCCGACAGATCCCACGAATACATGAAACTGAATGGCGCAAACTTCACTAATAACTAGTTTTAAACAAGATGACGAGTTGTTCTTAAACTTTGACATCTGGTCCGGCCCTCTAGCGCTGAAGTTTAATGGAGATTGATTGTTTGGGAATCCGTAATTTATTGTTGGAGTAAAAAAAAAACAAGAAGAAAAAAGACAGTGTTTTTTTCATACATTGTCAGCTTAAACTTTTTCCGGCGGCAGTCTCGAACGAAGCGATTTACAGCGCCCGTCCCTGGTTTTGAGAGGGTACGTCAGTGTTGCCCGACTGCGCTGGGCTTTGGGTTTTCTCGTCAGTGGGCTGTGGCAGCCTGCGTAGGAGCAATTCCGGACGCTGGTGGAGGCTAAATTGCCGCCTTCTATCTTTTAGTTCGTGTTCTATGGCGAATAGAGTTGCTCGGGGTTTTTAAGAATGTATTAAGAATGCTCTGGGGGGGGGGTCACGTCACCCCCCAGGTCACGTGACCCCCCCCCCCCGAGGTCACGTGACCCCCCCTGGGGTCACGTGACTACCCGCAGGTGACGTGACCCCTCTCAGTACCCTTCCCTACTCCTCCTCAAGAGCTGCGCTCCAATTCGGCGTTACAGGGATTTGTAAACGGCTTTCATTTTTTTAAATGTATGCTTAAGATATACCGCACTGAAAGCTACGAGCTCAAGCCTACTGCTCAAGGACGCACCTGAGCTGTATCTCGTCTGAAACAGACGAGATAGAGCTCGACAACAGCAACGGCCAACGCCACCAGCTTGAGCTTTTACCTTTCTTTGCGGGAAATTTAACGATAAAACAGGGTTATGACTGTTGTATCTCTTCTGAAAACTTAACAAGTTAAAATGGAATATGCAGACGCTAAAAACATCATCCAGACTGTGGGCGAAGGCCTGTCGACCATCAACGACGTCTTCGTCTTTGAACCTTTTGCCAGCCAGGACAGGGCAGACGCCTTTTTCGAACCGGCACGCAAGGCACTCGACATATCAGCCCATTACGGTGACTTATACATTGCGCTGTCGGTCTTCGTTCTGCTCGTACTGAGCGCAGGTCTCGTCTGCTACCTTACGGGGCTATGGTGCATCGTCATCGCGAACAACGCCAACTGCTCTTACCTCATTACTGTCGGTCTCTTTCTGTTCTCGATTACCTTCCTGCTGTCCATGATCACATCGACACTCGCGCTGTGCCTCGGCTTCGTGGGACAGCGAACCATCTGCGACGTCGTCAGCGACTTGAGACAACCTGAGGTCCAGGCACTCGTGCGAGGCGTCATGATTCTGGTGAGAAAAACAGAAGCATTCCGATCACGTGGTCTTCTTGGCCAGCCCTGGCCGCCAACGGGGCCTGATAGTTCAGAGGGTCGAAGGTCCGGCACCATTTCTTCTGGACTGCTCGGGTCCTACAAGGAGGCATCGAAGACGTGGATGAGGAAGCTGAAGTCTTGGTTAGTCTGGCTGGTGGGACAGCGAGTCTTGAGCGATGTCTGGTTGCTGAGGACGGGAATGTCTGTGTCAGCAGAGGTCAGGTCAGATAGGGCACCGAAAGCTGAACCCCAACTGCTGCAACAAGCCGCAAGTTCAAACGTTACGGTTTCCAATGCGCTCGCTAAAGTGATGACGCCCGCCAAGGTCACCGAGATCCTACGCCGGTTCAGCGAATGCGGTGACAAGGACCTCAGTGCCTTCAATTTGATCGGTAACGACACCGTCGTCGAGCTGTTCAATTTAGTCGTCGCGAGCGCCCAGAACTTCTCGTGGCTCTTTGACGACACCAAGAGTCTTCCGATAAAGGTGACCAAAGAACTGGATCGAGCACTGCTGGATCTGGCGAACGGCTCGCTCGACAAGTTTGTGCCTGACTTGCCCACTCTTGAACAAAAAGTGCTAGCGGTCAATATGACCAAGCTCAACATATCTGACGTAAAGGGGAAGGTGAGCAATGAACGTCGTTTTCTTATCCAAATTGACGGTTTAAGCATGTTGGGTTTATTAGCGGGGTTCAGTGTTTTTGGTAAATACCGATAAAGCCGGATAATTAACCCTTTTTGCTAGCTGCTATTTAGGTACCACTTTGGATGCATGGGCGGTATATGGACACTGTACGCACCAGCCAAAGTATGGCGTCTGGAGCGCGTTTTCGACTGGTGTGTTTACCGCATCCTAAAAATTGGTCAATCGATTTTTGCCTGATGACGTCGTAGAAGCTTCGTGTTGTCACGGGCCACGATCCTGGCGGTGTTACAGCATCGGTGGTGGATATGGCAGAAGCCTATTCATCTGCAGGTCGCAGTTAAGCGTTACAGTCCACGGAAGCTTTTGCAGCCAAGATTTGGAACGTGCACGACGTCAGCGGCACTCGCGTTCACTACTTTTTGCCGCGAATTATCGCCTCAACCGCTAGGACCGCGACATTCGACGACATGACACGCCGGCTCCTGTGACATCTGTTTATTCCCACTTCCGGACCACCTTGGTGTATGGGCGGGATAGGACGCTAAACATCCCAGTCGATCAAAGACGCGTTCCAGATACCGCGATTATGATGATGGCGACGATGTAGGTAATGACGATTACGATCATCACGTATTTCAGTTGGTAGCTGCGAATCCGGATGGCAGTATACAAATCGTCAAAATCTTGATCGGAACCGCCATTGCTGCGGGATATCCCGAAAAGGTACGTCATTGAGAATTTCGTTAGGACTGCGTTTCCAGACACTTCTAACGTGATAGCATTAGGCAGCTCGTGTCGCAGAAAATCCGGCATCAGCGTCGGTGTCGGCGGTCGTGGGACCGGAAAACCCTGATTGGTCGATAGGTTCATGACGTGACAGCCACGTGTGACGTCACACGTGACGTCTCGCCACATGACCTCGCGCGAAACTCTCAAACCCCACATCTCCCACGTGTGAGGCAAAATGACGTCACACGACGTCACACGTGTGATGTCACGTGCTGCTTCCCACGTGACGTCATGGAACGTCTTACGATACCGACTAGGCCACGCACACACTTTTACAGCTTGGGGACGAGCGCGGGTTCAAATGAGAAGGCTTTGCGAACGGGGCCCGATAACGCTATCGCGTTCACCTCTTAAAGGCGAAGCTTAAACGTCTTACAGGTTTTTGTTTTTCTTTCTATTTCGAGATGTATGAAAACAAAAGTCACTTCCTGGCAGTTAAAAATGACCCCCGATTGGCCGCCGCCATGTTGCACATTTTTGACCATTAAACACGTGACCTTACAGTTTTAGGTCTAGATTTTAACAAAGTACCGCGCAAGAATAATTGCTTAATGATCTTTAATAACAGTACCGACGAGGTAAGTTATTGAGAAAAGAGTCAAAGTACAGGCTAGCTGGTGGAAGTCAACCATTTCGTCGTTTACCCTGAGACTGGTTTTTTTTTTTAAGAGCAGAAGTAACAGAAAAACAGACAGGTCTCAAACTCAGCTATACGTTTATTTCAACAACTTCCTCTTATATAGTCCGTTTTCGTCGTCAACAACCAATCACATACGACTTGTCCTTTGCACCGTGACTTTACAGGTTCCACTATATCACAAAAGAAGCGGACACTCCCAACGTTTCCAAGTGAAAAGGTTCTAGCAGAAGATATGCCTCACAAAGCCTCAAGCAACTCTTTTGTGTCCTCACAATAAACAGGACAACAGCCCACAACAACATCCCACTCAAAACTGGTCACCTCCAAAATTGTAGAAAAGAGACAATACACACCAGTACACACCACAGACAATACACACCAAAGAAGCCTTTCAGGATGACTAACTAAAAAAAAAAACAAAAAAAAAGCACTTAGAATTGTAAAAATTGCTGTCTGTTTTTCTGTTAATTCTGCTCTTCAAAAAAAAAAAAAACCCAGTCTCAGGGTAAACGACGAAATGGTTGAGGTAAGTTATGTTTGTTTTGTTTTAAAGGGGTAGGGAAACGAAATTCCAGCGCTCATTTTTTAGCTTTAATGTGTTGCATGTTGCAGCATAACCTCAAAAACACCAGTCTTGCGTGGGGAGGCACAAACAAACATAATTTTAAAGCTAATTAAACGATCTTTGAATGTGCACCTGGTGGATGCATGCCGAGCGTATTTGGGAGGTAATCTAGCAACGTTGGAGAACTTGCTACGTAGTCATGACGCAGCAAATTCTATCGGAGCAGCCCCGCGCTTAGGAATTTGAACATTTTCCTTCTCAGCTTTCCTCCGCAACCCAGAAATGGCGCATTGAACTAAGCAGTCCAAGAAGACGGAAAGGAGGGACTCTCCTCCTTCTCGGACCCTCGTTTGTGCACCCGGATACAGCCAGTCTCCCCTTAGAAGATTAGCCTGTCGCCCAAAACTCGGACAAAAGTTGCTTTCCCCAACCCGTTCAGCCCTAAGCTGACAGTGCTGTAGAAGCTACGTGCTCTTTGGGCCAGCCACACGCTCGTCACCCCACGTCTACTTCGAACGGCTCGGTTGCATAGAGTGAAGGCCCGTTCACACAGTTGCGTTCGGAGCGACCACTACGCTTACGAACGAATGAAAGCGGTTGGAACGACGAGTTACCATAGCAACGAAGCGCCAAACGGTCGTTTCGTTCGTGTTCGTTAGCAACCCAAGGAGTTGAGCCGGGCGGAACTTTTTCGTTAAGTTCGGGAACGACGGGAGCGACAGATCAATCACAGGTCGAGGAGAGCTCGGTCGCGCGCGTTGCATGCCGGTCGTGCCAGGCTCCTTCTGCCTGCAAACATGGCGTCGGTGGTGATCGTCGCTGTGGACGGCGTGGTAGAAGCTCATCGTTCCGCGTAAAAGCGCTATCCTTGACTGTGAATTTTCGTCGTGTGTCGTTATGATAACCCAGCATGTACTAGAAGGGAAGATCCACCTACTCGTGCGGCGATCTCGTGGTGGCACTCTCAAGACAGCAGAAACGCCCGTGCCGTCGTGTTTGTTTACTTCGACTACAGTGGTGCTTTCTTAGCGTTTGGGTCCTCGAACATCGCCCGGATTTTTTTTTTGCGCATTTTATGCGTGTGCTCAAATTCAAGGTATTACTGGTGCGTACCGTATATAAGTGGCGAATTTCCACGCGTTTTCATCACCCGAGAAAGGTGATTAGTGTTAGCAATCCTGAACGTTCGCAACGTCTCGCTCGCAACGTATATCTGATCAAAAAATTATATTTCTACGTTGCTATATCGCTGCTAAGATTACATCGTCTTTTATAATCATAGAAAAGGCCTGTGGTGGGATTTGTACTGTTGGCAAAGTCGTTATCGTGCAAGACGGCGTACTAGCGTCTTTTCTTTTTTAATGCACTACCCTGCAAGCGTATCCTGTGAAATAAAAAAATAAAGTTTGTGGTCATATAAGACGGTCTGTCTACTTTCTGCTACGCAAGTGAGTGGCAGCGCGTCCCTTTCTTTTTGGAGGCACCGCTGACGGCGGCGGAGAGGCGGTCGCCGTGCTGCCGCCGCACTGCGCTTGTTGCAGGAGTGTACTATAGTCAGTTACAGGTTAAGAAGGTAGCGGCAAATGCCCCTCAAAGGGAATCAGATATCCCTCCGCCACCTCCGCATCCAATAGCGTCCCACCGTTTCCATGACGTCGCGGCCAACGCGCGAGGAGGGTCTTGCCTTTTTGTACATATTTGCTTTATCTTTCGGTCTTGACTTAGCATTGCCATTGTGGAAGCCACGAGAGGGAGATTAGAGTTCTCCCCCACCGACGAAACAAATACGACTTTCGGGGATTAGCTTCCCCCCCGATGGATACAAAGGCTGCTTTCAGGGGCTCGGTTCCCTCTCCGATGAATACTAAGGTCGCTTTCTTAAAAAGGGGGATCGGAGACAAGTGGGAATCCATTGAAGCGGAACAAGGAGCGTTTCCAGTGAACTCTTCTTTCGACTGCGGAGAGATTTGAAACGGGCGCATCACACTTGTGGGAGGAGCTTCTCCTACCTTCTTGACTTGTAACCGACTATAGAGTTCCTGTATAGGCTCCCTACGGGAGCCAGAGTTGCGCATTTGTTTTCCCCACGCCGCCACGCCGCTATTCGCCGAGATCCATCACGTGAGGAGCAAAGCCTCCGGTGGCGTGCAAGAAAGCCACCTTTACGGTCGCTCCGCCGACGTTTCTCTTGCCCAGACTTGTACCGTACGCATTACAAGTAATCAAATTACTTGTAATCGATTACTTTTTGGAGTAATTTTGTAATCAGTTGATTACTTTTATTAGACAGTAATCACAAGAGTAATCTGATTACTTTTTGAAGTAATAAAATTACTTATAACCGTTCCAGTTTCTCCACGGGACCCCCCCCCCCCCCCCCCCCCCCCGGCCACACGCCTTTTTTTTTTTTTATGAAATAACAAAAATAAGATTTGCTTTTTTTTTCTTTTTTTTTTTTCGAACGGAAAAAAGAAAGATTTTTGCGGAGCTGTACGAAACGATGTCAATCTCTTTCTATGTACAGGTTCAGTGGAATGTCCGTTTCTTTTTTTTTTTTTTTTTCGAGCTGGGACTGGGAGTGGGAAGCCACAGGGAAGCCGCAGTGCGTGACGAAGGCCCTTCAGAACGAAGTTTGAGGAAGCAGAATGTAGCTTTGTGAGTCCTTCGTTCAAACTAGCTCCCTCACGCACACACACACAGAAATAAAAAAAAAATGACAAAAAGCCTGCTTAGGGTACCTACTCGCAGCCCGTAGGAGATCCAGAACCGAAGAATGCCTAAGCGGATGCAAAATACAGCAAAGGCAGTTGAAATATTTCCCCATTTACCCTACGTGGTCTTTGTGACAAACAATGTTTCGAGTTGAGAAGTGGTCGGGGCGATCTCTTCCGCTAACATGGTCCGTTTCAAATCCTGGAGCTGCTGCTCTTTTGTATAACATGCGAGCTCATCCACATGTGAATAATAAAATGAGCGACACAAACTTTGAGTAACAACACTTGCTCAAGCTTAACAAGTTCTAGAACCCCCTCCGCCACCCCCCCCCCCCCCTTACACACACACACACACACTGGCGAACGCCCAAATCATTAAACGTCTTCAAACAAATTCTATGCTTGTGTCCTCATTGTGAAGGTGCAACGACCACGAAGAGGGAGCCAGTTTTTTTTTTCTTCAATACTTGTACAAATGTGAAATATAGGTTGGAAGTAGTTGATTGTTATGAGCGCTAAAGATGTGTCTTCAGACAATAAAGTAACCGAAAAAGTAACGATTACTTCTTTAAGTAATGTCCGATTACTTTTGCCGTCGAGTAATCAAGTAATCTAATCGAGTACTTTTTAGCCAAGAGTAATAGTAATTGTAATCGATTATTTTTTTTTAGTAACGTATACAAGACTGCTCTTGCCCCAGCGTATGTTCCCCTGCTTTCCGCCTCCTTTTCCTCCTCTCCTGTTTTCCTCGCGCGGCGGCGCGCGCGCCGCCGCTATTCGCCAAATTTAGTCACGTGAGGAGCAAAGCATCCAGGGCTTGCGGGGAAGCCGGCGCTACGGCCACTCGGCGAGGCTGAATGCGCAACTCTGCTACCGTAGGTAGCTATACAGGAACTCTAGAGTGTACGCGCGGCGCAGAGCGGTCGTTCCGGTCACAACGGACGCAGTCGTAGATAACGAGTTCGTTTCAGATGTCAGAACAAGCCTTTACACAGCTATTGTAGGCGCACAGCAGATCTTCGTGACT